GATCATGCCTTCTGTCATAGGCTGGAGAATCTGGAGGGTAATGTATTATGTTAATTGAAACAAGCCAAACATAGAAAGAATAATCCTGCATGACCCAGCTTGCAGGTGGAATAACAACAGCAACAATGCATTTGTGTTTCATGCAAAATGAGTAGGTCTTAGCTACTCTTGCCATGTAAGCACATAGGAAACAATAGGGTTAACATGTTGATTTGCTTCTTCTATACAGAAACATTTCATATTGTCTGTAGCCATCACATAACATCATGTTACATTCCTTAAACATACCCAATCAAGTTTCTTTTAAAAGGATAAAGTTGGGGCTGGTTAGATGATTTAGGGGATGTCTGCTGCCTGATGACCTGAGTTTAATTCCTGCTCCTCATTCAGTGGAAGAGAAATGAGTTCTGAAAGTTGTTCTTTGACTCCACAGACAGACAGACAGACAGGATGGTATATTTGCATACGCATCCATAAGCGATAGAAATAGATAAGTTACTTTCACTTAAGACTCTAGTAATTTTGAGATTGACAGTTTCCCTGTTACATATTTATTTCTTTTTTAAAGTAAAAGTTTGTTCTTTAAAAATTTTTATTAGTTTTTTCAAAATTTCATACAATGTGTTTTGATCACATTCATCTCCTCCTTAGGCTTGTTCCAGCCTGTAGAAGGAGCAGCGGGCTGCATTCCTGCCACCCAGCTCCTGGCCACCTGGCTAGCTTATGCCCCGAAATAACAACACACAAACTGTATTCATATAAACACTGCCTAGTCCATTATATCAAGCCTCTTCTTGGCTAACTCAAATCTTGATTAACCCATTTTTATTAATGTGTGTAGCACCACAAGGTGGTGGACTACCAGGAAGATTCTAACCTACGTCCACCTTGGGTTGGAGCTTCATTGTGTCTGTCCTGGAGAGGAGAGTTATGGCGTCTGGTTTACTTCCTTCTTCCTAGCATTCTGTTCTGTCTACTCCGCCTACCTAATTTTCTGTCCTATCAAAAGGGCCAAGGCAGTTTCTTTATTAACCAATGAAAGTAACAGATAGATAAAGACCTTCCTGCATCACCAGGTTCAACTTTATGTCCTTTTATTTTCATCCATCAAGTCCAATTTGTGCTGCCCACATATTTGTGGACAAAAATATATGGATGTCTGTGTGTGTATATTACACATGGGTGCCCCATGCCTATGGAGGCCAGAAGAGGGTGTTGGATTCCCTCAATTGGGGTTACAGGTAGTTGTGAACTACTCGATGTAGGTGCTGGGAATCTAAGTTCTGCCTCAGCTAGATCCCCTCTTCTGTCCCCCCCCCCCCGCCCCACCTTGAAGAGCTTCTATGGTACTATAACAGACTTTGAGGACTCTGTAAATCCCATTGAGTAAACCACTGGCTTGAGGAGTAGCAATGGTTTGTATTAAACTTTATAAAGTCAATTTATGAGTGTTAAAGAAGCATATGTTGCTTCAAAGATAAAAATTCTTAAAATAATTTTTTTGAGATGTTATCTGTCTGTTTGTCCATCAGTCTGCTCACTCATTCAACTATCCATGTGTATGAGTGTTTTGCCTACATGGATGTTTATGCACTACACGTGTGTCTAGTGCCAGTGGGGGCCAGAAGAGGGCACTTGATTGCCTGGTACTGGAGTTACAAACAATTTTGAGTGGCCATGTGAGTGCTGGGAATTAAACCCAGGTCCTCTGCTGAGTCATCTCTCAGCTCAAGATGTACATTTTTCAGTGGAGAGAATAATCATAGTTTGTTCTATCTATTTTTAAAGTTTAATTTTTTACAAGCTAAGGTTCTGGACATCAGCTACCAAAGGAAGACACAGCAATCCCATGTTGGCCAGCCTCAAGAAGACAAGCAGTGCTTCTCCCCTCTGTGCACTCTTCAACCAACAGATGTCACTAAAGATACCAGTACCCAGAGGCAATGGGAAGAAAAGATTAAACAAATGGAAACTGAGCATAAAAACACCCACTTCTTAAAAGTGAGAACTAGGTTTCCAGAGTAATAACATTTATTACACTGCATGCAACATTTTAACCAAAAATTTAGAGAAAGAAATTTCTTTTATTAAGTTGCTCAGGCTGAAGGATCATTGCACTAAGTTTTGAAATACATGTTCTTGAAGCAATTTAAAACTCATTAGAAATAATAGGCTAGGGCTAGTAGAAAATGTGGTAAAATTTAATCCTCACCCAAATGTTACCTGGGCTGTACAAACAGGAAATTGTTTTGTGCTACTGTGGCTAACCTCAGTGCTGACCCTGAGCTGTAACGGCAAGAGCAGCTGAGAGCTGAAGCAAAATTAAAAACTTACATCAAAGTATATCATGACAGAATGTAGATAAATAAAACAGCATATCAAAAGTATTATTTTTCTGCCAGTCTCATAGAGCAGTGAAGAAGAGATGGTCCACAAAATGTGTAATATATCATGTGTACTAAGCAATGAGTCCTCTCTAGTACCACCCCACCTGAATACCCAAACATTATCCAGGAGAGGTGAGCTACAAGGAAACTCAGTGAGGATGGGGACAGAAGGGCCCTTTAGGTTTCCTTGTCGTTCACCTTGGATAACCCAAAGAAATAAGTATTTCACGCTCAGCTCAGTCTTGCTGTTACTCTTTTGTCTTCTGGACTCCTAGACTACAACCACATGATCTTCCTCAAACAAACATGCCAGACTCTCCAGAGGAAAAGCATGATAAGAAAATATTCCAGATCCCAGAAGGCTGGAAGCCAGCATGGGATTTCACCAAGGATGGGAGACGATCTTATATTATTCTATGCGAAGTGTGTGTATTAAAGTCACTGGTAACACAGTTGGAGGATATTTTCCCACTTGTACCTTTGGTTTCCTTCAAGTTTTAGGATGCAAACCACTAAAACAAATAGTGCTTGTCATAAACCTCCTAAATCTTCTCAGGAAGCAGGAAGGGATATGGAAAAAATTACAATCTACAGTCACACCGACTTCCGGTGAAATTCTAATCCAACCAGCTGACAGTTACATAGTACCTGGCAAGCTTCTTAATGCCAACAGATTCAATTTCAGTTCTTGTTATAGTAATCATAGTGGCTAGTTATGGTAATTATAGTAATTGTCTTTGTTAGGGTTTCTATTTCTATGAAGAGACACCATGACCACAGCAACTCTTATAAAGGACAATATTTAACTGGGGTTGGCTTACAGTTTCAGAGGTTCAGTCCATTATCATCACGGGAGGAAACATGGTGCTGGAGAAGGAGTGTTCTACATCTTGATCCACAGGTAACACAGAAGAGACTGCCACACTGGGCTCTGCTTGAGCATATAAGACCTCACTCAAAGCTTGCCCCTACAATAACAGACTTTCTCGAATAAGGTCACATTCTCCAAATAGTACCAGAGTCTTTGGGGGACCATACCTATTCAAATTGCCACAGTAATTATACTGGCTAGCTGGTCTAAGGCCTTTCAGGACAGTATCTGACTTAATTCTTTATTACAAACTCCAACATTCCCATGATCATACCTATGCTGAGGACTTGAGGAATGCATGGTAATGACCTAATACAGCATTTGTTGTATTTGCATATTTGATGATGACCCTTTTGACTGGACTGAGAGAGAATCTTAATGTAATTTTATTTGCATTTCCCTCATGGCTAAGAATGTTGAATACATAAAAAAAAAAGTTTGTGGTCTACTCTACAGGAGGGAATCCATGTGTAGTACTATACACTCAGCACCAAATCCATGACTGAACAGGTCTCACACCCCATGATGAAACCTGATACTGCTGCTTTGCTGAACCTATACAGTACCAGGTCATCTTTCAAGACACCTGTTTACACCTGCAGACAATAGCTACTGACCAATCAGAGCAGCCTCTCGCTACAGTGTTTGAAGTAACTGCAAAGATCCATTGACTTCAAAAGATGCTGAAGATACAAGGTAGTTGGAGGCTCCACAGAAAATAAGACATTTGCACCACCGTGCCCTCAAGGCTCAGGGAACACTGTGGAAGAGGATGAAGAAAGAAGCAGAGAGCTGGAAGGTAGGGAGAAGGGCTGCAAACTGCCATCTCTGAAGTGTGACACAATCATGGCAAAACCATGAACTCACTGCAGCTATCTGTACTGGTGCTGGGTCCACGAAAGTGAGACCCTCTGAGCAGTCAGCTATGGGTACGGAAGGGGCTCACGAAGCCTCCACTTACTGCGCTGATTCTGGGGGACAGAGCAGCATTTAATTGTATCCCACTGGAAGGTACAATGCCCACAAGCTCTGAAGCTTAGTTCCCTATCCAGCACCGCTTCCACAGGACACTAACAAACATGGGTAAGAGAAGTAAAAGGGCTGTCAGGGGAGTTGAGAGGGTCTGGAAACAGAGTTACTAGAATGGAGTAAATGCAGGTCTGGAATTGTTAAATAACAAAATAAATGCTTACAACTCAGAAAAGTTCCCAGAAGAAAAGTAACAAAGTTGTTTTCATTAGCAAGTGTTAGAGATAATGATAGTTCTTAGGCTTAAACTGCTAAATAAATTATAAAAAATACTAATGTGATCGACTAGAACAATCTTGACTTGGGAACTCTACTTCGACGAGTACAGAACCCGAAATATAACACTCCTTGTAATATTGTAGTAAAACACTGACTGCCATTTGCCAGGGTATTTCCTGACAAAGTGGTCTCCCAAGACAGCAAATTCCTTGATATAAATTTGAGAAATTCTGAATATACTATAACTTTAAAAAGTCTACTGTATTTTTTACTACTGACATTTGTATTTTATCCCAAAGAAATGTATCAGGTTGGCCAGGATGTCATTACCTCTCTGCCTGATGCTATTCAGGCAAGGGTCCTGCTTCCTGCACTATTACCCAGCTCACAAATTCATACAGATATGGAGGTTCAAAAGAATGAAACAATGAGCCTCTTTCCTTCCAGAAACAGGTTATGGCATACTGCAGAGACCAATGGAAAAAGGTATTTACCATAAGTGCAAATCATTTTGCTTGCTTCTCTGAAGAGAAGAATTCCATTAGGAGAGGATACATCAAAATTCAAACGCTGAGACCTAAGAAATATAGCAAAAGTCAGACTATTCCTGAAGATAAAGAGACCAAATATCAACACGACAGCAGTTGCATTTACAAGGAGCAGTCCAGTACCGATTACCCTTAGAAGAGTCACTCCAATTGAACGGCTACCGACAACCTACATACAATAATTTTCTCACTATTGGTTTATTCAAAGGGTTCATTTTTTAATTTATCAAAAGAATATCCTGATACTTTATATCACAGATCTTCTCTCTCTTTTCCTTTCTCGCAAAGTGGCTGATGGCTAATTGTTTAAAAACCGTAAGTTACATACTTGCTATCTCCTAAGTATGAGTCATAAAGTTAAAAAAATCCAGAGTGACAGGAGACACAGGGCCTTTTACTAATGCACAAATGTGAACCGAGTTGTTTCACGAATGGAACACATTTCAAATATACTACACTATTACAAACCATAGTTTCCACTGCACACACAAACAAATTCCACAAGTTCTCCCCACAGGTGGAGAGCACTGAAGAGAGTTAAGGGATTGACAAATCTTCTGATGTAATATCTGCTCTTTATCCCCCTCCTTGGCCTCATTTTGCGCTGGCATGCCATGCCTCTATGCTTTCAAGATACAATGGAATGTACTTAAATAATGTTGCAGGAAACAAACAAGACAAAACACCAACTAATTGTCCAACAAACCAAAAAAACTACCCCCAAAACCACAGGCGAATCATTGCTAATGTCTTGTTTACTAAAGAAATTGCTGCTTTTCAAAATTAGTTTACTGTTAAGTACCATAATAACTCTGATTAGAAAAATGCAAATATGTAATTCACACTAAATACTAAATTTATACAGTGTTTCATAAAATATAAATTTTTATATGGCAATTATTGAGTCATTTGTGCTATGAATTACCTGCTATGGCAGACACAAAATGCTTAATAACATAGAACATTATTTTTTCTACTAAATGCCATTTTGGCATTGCATGTCTAATTAACAATTTTAATTATAAATAATTCACATTTCTAATATTAAATATAAAGCCCATGTATTCATTTAAGATACTTGAGAAAACTTTAAAAAAAAACACTCAAGAGCTTTAAAAAAAAACATTTCTTTTACAAATCTTCCATCTCTCATGTAAGAGGGAAAAAAACCTAATTATTGCTGTGAACAACTCAGCAACAGAGTGAAGCTGAGCTGCAATCCATGTTCCTTCCCTGCCTGGCTGTCTGCACAGAGGCAATGATGCAACAGGATGGCTAAGTGACAGGCGACTGGTGCTAGGTCACATCCACAATGACACGTTTTAAAGATGCAAACACAAGTAGGTTGCTGTAATACTCCACCCCTTTGCCGAATCTGTCAGTGATTTTAAGCAGAGCACCAGCATCCCTGCTACTCTGCACAGACGTAAGGGCTGAGGATGGTGTGGCTGCAAACACGTGCACCTAACACAGAAGGATGCTCAGGGTCAGCAGAGACACCCTCCCAGCTCCTGGGCAAACAACACCTGCATGTGAACTGCTCTGAGACTCAGTTTCCTTATTCATAAAGTGAACCCTCTCAACTCAGAGATCACATTTTCTTATTTAAAATTCTAAAGAATTGTTATCTAAGCAAAGAAATAGTTAAAATAACTGCTCTTCTTTTCCCACGTTGTGAGTTTGCATATTTTAAATAACAGTGGCTGTGGTCTTTCTCAGCCCCACACCCCTACAGTATACCAGAACTTTCTTCCTTCCAAAGGTCATGTCTATTGTTTTCTTGCTAACCTGCGACAATACCTAGACTGTGCACAGCTGCTTACCTGTTTTGCATCAGTTCTGCTAAAAGTTTTAAGATTGGAGTAGTACATGCTGGTTCTCCATACCATCGCTCAATAGCTCTCTGAAGAACTGGAAGATAGGCTGGATACCTTTTATAAAGTCTGTTAAAGAATTTAGGGGCAAAGAACTTGAAATGCCTCATAGTAACGGAAAACCGACTAACATGTACAAAGTCCTGGATACCATTCCCCCAAATAACAATAAAACAACAACAAAAAAATGCTGCTGAAAATTAATGGGATTTTAAAAGAAGCAAGCAAACAAACAGAAATCCGTATTTCTTTTGCTCCCTGGACAATGGCACTGTATAAATTACTCTTTCAAACTATACAGCTATACTTTTGGAGTAGCTACAAGGTTTGAATTTGTCTCTGTAAATTAAGCTGTTTTATTCCTGGTATCAGGCATAAGTCATAGATATACTTTTAAATAGAAAGTAAATACATGCTTAAAGAATTATGCTTGATGTTATAGGGAAGAAAAGTAAATTGAGCTAAAGAGGAATACAAATATATGAGTCATTATTTTTGGGGCTTCTGAGTATTACACCAAGAAAAAGCTAAAAAAAAAAACCCACAAAAGCATAGAGAAACAGTAACGGTACACATTAGATCTACCCCAGCTTAAATTAAGTAGTTGACTTCTGTGCTTTGGTACCACTGGAACTCCAAGAAACATCTGGGTTGTTTGTTACCCTGTAGAAAAGGTCTGACCTGCTATTAATGCTCCATCTTCTGGGCACCCTGTATGATGGAGGTAGCTCTAACCTGCTCAATGCCACTGTTGCTAAGGGTAGTACAGCGTCCATGCAGTCTCTCAGTCTCTCTCTCTCCGTGAGCTTCCCATTATATAGCTCTGGCTGTCCTGGAACTCATTAGGTAGACTAAGCTGGCCTTGAATTCAGAGATTCACCTGCCTCTGCTTCCTGTGGTTGGCCTGCGAAGCATCCTTTTTAATATGAGGGAGCCTAGCTCTGATGAGCCTAGCCAGGGATGCACAGCATCAACAGCTGACGCATCTCTGCCAGCTTCACTTGGCCTCCTCCTTGGGAAATAGACAATAAACATATGAAAGCCTCAAACTAGAGCATGAGCATCACTTTCTGTCTTGCTAGGTTCCCGCATCTCTTTCCCAGTCACTTGTCTTTGCTTCAGATGAGAGCGCTGAACTGGATCTGTGTGGTTTGGACAGAGCTCCATGGTGAAAAGCCTCAGCATAACACCCCCTGCCCACTTCCCCCCAAACCCCCACCAGGTTCCTCGTCAAGGCATGAAGGCTGCTGTGTCTCTAACCTCACCATTTCTGCTCTACACACAGTTTGGTTTATCCCAACCCCCTGCAAATCATGGGGACTCCAATCTAGTGCCCAGTTTCCCATATGCTGCTTCCTTCCGCCTCATCCCATCTTCCAATACCCAGCTCATGGTCCATGTCTCTGGGATGTCTTCTTGATTTTTGTCAAAAGGCACCAATCTCTTCTTCATCTCTCTGAGAAGCAGGGCTGGCTGTGTGCACTCCCTGCTGTTCCGCGAGCTGTGAAAGGGCTGAGATCTGTGCTTCACTACCATCTCCACCCTCCTATTCCACCACAGCTGTCGATGATTCCTGAAAGCCCTTCCCAGCATCACTCTACCTGCTAGGCCACCTGGCTTGGGAGAGGGCCCATACATGACTGTGCTGGCCCACTACGGAACTTATCTCTGCATTCGAAGCCCTAGGAGTGCAGAAACCTGGGCTGCCTACCATGAACAGGCTCAGTACAATGTAGATCCCAGTATTTGCTGTTGTAAACCTACAGAAGCGACAGAGCCTACATGGCAGAAGTGGATCTTGACGGTTTAAACAGTACTCCATGCTGAGCTTTAAGAAATCACTTCTACAATAGTGAAAACAAGCCTTCCTAGGCCTGCAGTGTGCTGGGCCCCGACAGAGCAGGAAGGCAGCAGTTCCTCAGGAGAGACAGGCTCAGGCTGCATTCAGAAAACGGCTCCCGTAGCAAGTATTTGCTGAAGCCCTCCTCAAATGTACTGTTTTAGAGTCTCCAGAGATACCAGGGAACAAAAGCACTAGGAAAATGCCTTCCCTTGTGGGATTTATATCCTAACAATCAGGAAGTAAATTAAATAAACATGCTATAAAATAACACAAAGGAAAAGAACAAGGGGTGGAGACAGGAAGTGAGTGGATATGCTTAGGTGAAGAGCCAGATGGCTGCAAATGACAAAACTGTGTTTAATTCTCAGAACCTATATGATGGGAAGGGTGAGTTGTATTCTGATGCCCATAAATGTAGTGTGTTGCACGCGCGCATGTGCGCGCAAAAACATAAACCACGACTTGACTACAAACTTGATCTGAACTGTCAGTTTACTGTTTCTAAGTACTAGGAAAGCTGTTATTGCTTAATATACAGATACCACATACGATGAACTGTGTTAAGGACCATGAATCTAGAACTAGGAAGACAAGGCTTTCTTTCGTCATACTTCACCAGAGTGGCAGGTGTGTAAAGGGTGCTCTCCCTGTTCAGGTAAGAGATAGCCTACGCACAAACTCTGGGATCATCAGGGAACAGACACCAATCTCCAAATCTAAGTGCACTGGAGGCCCGCACTGGCCACCTGCAGCTCTAAGGTTTTTTAGAGCATGCTGTATTCACACTGGGATAAGACCAGGGGATATGAAGGGGATGCTCCCTTTTCTGTGCGGAATGAGAACAGTGACAGTTCTAATATGCTTCTGACAGAGGTGACTGCCACAGAGAAAGTGAGTGATTACTGGAAAGCAGAGCAGAGGGCTACTAAGCATGGAGGTTAAAAGGGCTTCACAGTGAGAATGCCAGGCTCAGATTACAGAGCGAGAATCAAAACCCAAGTTTAATTTTCCAGTGGCCTTGTGAGGACTACATATATCTGGGCAGAGAAAGAGAAAGGGAGCCCTTAGGTAGAAGGGGCATGGATCTAATTTCTCTTACCTAGATCTTCCCAATGAATACCAAAGGTCTCCATAGACAAATGAGAAACCAAAGGCACAGACAATGCCAAATATGAGGACGTGGCAAGCATCAGACTTGCTTTCATCCGTGCGTCCTCCCATTAGTCCATCCAGTAATTACTAGTAGTTTCCAGGTGCTGCACCACAAAAAAGTAGTAAAGAGAAAATCCACAACTATTTCCTTTGTAGATTTAATTGTAGAAAAAGTGATATATGTAATTTTTAAAAAGTATGAAAAAAAAAAAAAAAGGGCCAGGATGGTTGCTGACTGGGTAAAGGTGCGGCTGCTGTACCTCATGAGGTGAACTTGGTACTCAGGACCCCGTGGTGAAGGGAAGAACTAACTCCCACAGGCTGTCCTCTAATTTCCATGTGTGTGTGTGTGTGTGTGTGTGTGCCATGGCCTGCACACACACACACACACACACACACACACACACACACACACACTGAACCTAACTAGAAAGGAGGACAAAGCATTATGATACCTAAAACATGAGTTTTTTCATTCAAACTGTTGGGGAAATCAGCGTGAGACCGTGGGTCTAGACTAGAAAGAGCCCCGCAGTCTTTCTTTCAGAGACTATCTGAATATGCTCCACAAACATGCCAACGTCAGTGTTGTATCCATGCAGAAGATGTGAGATCTGCGCTGTGTCCACGAGGGGCCATGTGCTGTGTGACACCTTTCCTCTCTTCTGGCTGGAAACCCATCTTTTCAAACTTATTGCGACTTTTGGTTTCTCCCCCAAATCTCATTTTGCTTAAAATACTTGTCAATTCTTCACAAATGTGCATGTGGTCCTTCACACGTGTCTGTTATAACACGTGCAATTAGTTGGTCAATAGGAGTTCCTTTTGCATGTTTACTTAATTGCAAACTTCTGGAAAGCACCACTTTATTCTTGTATTTCTGGTGCATAAAATGCACATTCCAAAGAATGCTGGCTCAACGGTGGCTGTTTAGGTTTCGTTTCTTCTGCTGTTCAACTTGTTTCACATACAATGCCAATTACTTTCGCCTTGAAATAAACTTCTTGATTATGCTGACCAACCAAAGTCATGAGAACGTATTCTGCAGGCTTCATGCTGCCTGTGGAACATGGATATACATTTTGGAGTCTGACACTCAAGGGCCCCAGACAATCTGTTTCCCTAGCCATGAAATGAGCTGTGTCCTAATGAAACATCTTTCTTACCCTAAACTGATGATCACCTGAAACTGCTCTTTTTAACTCCCCAGGGTCTAGTCTTACATGACCTGGCAAGAGTTAGGGTGACATGGTCACTTTTACAGGGCCTTTCCTGATCCCTTAGATAAATGACATCTCTTTCTTGTCTTGTTCTTGTTCTGACATCTACAGCTTCCTATGTTGTTGTAAGTCAGTCACACACAGGACTCGTTTAAACTAAAAAGTTCATTTGAGGTAAGAATTATGTCTCAGTAACCTACACTGTTCTTAGAACCAAGCACTCTGTGCTACGGAAGCCCACTTACTTATCTGCTGAATAAGTAAGCAAGTATGAGTCCTTGATTAACTGTTTTAGGAACAGAAATGACAGCGGTGACATGGCTGTTTTGTACCAGACATTTCAGTAGGACCTTTATGTAATCAGGCCATCACAACAGCTCCGACAAGGGAACTATGATATGCGGATAGCTGGCTGGAGTGTAAGACCGTCTCCTTACAGAGCTCATGTAATAAACAGTGCTGACTGCCTGTGAGAGCTCGATGACCACATCACAGAAATTAGAGCATACGGAAATACCACATTTGTTCATCTTTCTGGACTTTTGACACCTTAATCTAAGTATAATCTGGGAAAGGCTTAAATAATGTATTTCAGTGCACTGCAAGGTAGTTTTCTTATTGCTGCATTCTTACTTTGGGGCAAAGGTATAAATGAATGATTTCTTGCTGAATTCTCTAGTCATAGAAAAATTATCAAGATGGTTGCTATGTAGTTTCAGGCCATTTAGTTTTGGAAGGACAGAGTGATAAGCTATGCAGCTTGTGTAGCAGTTAATGCAGTCAGTGTTCACAGAGATGCTCCTGAATTAAATAGCTAAACACTAAAATAGCATTTTATCAAACAATCATCATAAATAAAATGTATTTTGACTTTACGATGACACGTGCTCTTACAGGAATATTTCTTCTGCAAGCTAAGGATTGCATAACAAATTAAAGAACACACATCTATGCGGATAAAAGGCAAATAAACTTTCCCCAGCAGTAATGTGGGAATCATCACTGACGGTTTGACATATCAATATTTCAGGAAGAATAAATGACTTTCATATCCGCATTTTTAAAAAATCATATACTTATTCATTTTTGCATTACCTGAATACTTTGGAAAGAATCTGTACTTTATCACCTGAAACTGTTAAAAGTATTTCAAAATATTTTAATAAAGCTTTTTGAATGATCAAATAATGTAACTTTTAAACAAATTTTACTATTATTATAAATATTTGCTCTTCATCCCTTGCCCAAAGGAAAACTATAAATCTTGTCTCAACTGAATGAACACCATTTATCATATTCATTTTGTTGTCAATACAATTATGAAAAGCCTTTGGCCTTTTCCCAAGGAAGCTGATTTGCTACTGAAACTCAATTATTATAAGCAAGGCCAGTAGCAAGTCCCTGCGTTTGGCAATGTAGCACAGCTTGCTGCATAACTGACACTTCGCCCTTCGCCCCTGACCCCAATAACTTCAGCTGTGGTCACATGGAGGAGATACCGGTTTCTAGCTCAAAACAAAACACCACGTCCTAAGATTCTCCATTTCTGCCATCTGCTGGACAAATGCTGAAATGGAAAGCAGACTATATTGTTGACACAGGAGGGAGTTCCTGACCTTGGCTCTTCAACTGGTGAACAAGAAAAAAGCCTGTTAGCTGCTGGGTGGGCTGGCTTTAGAGCCTGGTTTCAAGCAAATAATCATTTTTTTTGGTAACAAAGTTAATTTTTATGATTTTTCCAAATAAATGGAAAGTTCTGATTTTAGAATTGGTTGTTTAGAGAAATAAAATGTTCATATGTCTCTGGTCTATCCTTTGTAGATTAAGACTTTCTTATGATTAAATTTATAACCTCTGCATACAGACATTATATGTATAAGGCATGCAGTTGATGCTTCAGGGCCATGAAAAAATCTTATCTGATCTCTAAGAAAATAAATGAGATAGGTTTCCACAGCAACTAAAACCGTAAGTCACTAATACTCTAAACATTAGTGTTTAAAAATTTTCACAGTGTGTAGTGTTCGCTCTAAAATTTGCTCCTATCTGTTATGTTTTGGGCCACAACTACGGCAAAGTCACCGAACACTGCTTTCAAGAAGTTTCCTTTAGAATATGTAAAGAAAGTTTGGATAAGAAAGGTTTAATAAAGCAAGAGAGAAATTATACCCCTTAAATGTAAATTAAGTCGGCATGTGACAGGCCTGTAATCCCAATACTTAGTTGGCTGAGGCAGGGGGACCAGGAGATCCATCCTTGGCTCCATGTCAAGTCTGAGGCCAACCTGGGCTACACCAAGAAAGAACATCATAAAATAAGACAAATCAATTTGCTTTCAAGTACAATTTTCTTATGTGCTAGGGGTTTCCAATGTAGAGGGCGTGAAGCTATCATACTTTTGAGAAGTCGTCTCCTGTTAGGATCGAAGATGGCTCAGCATACTCCCAGCACGTTAATACAAGTTTATGGCCATTGTGAAGTGTCAGACCTCAGACAGAATGCTTACTTATCTTAGTGGTCACAGTAAGCCAGCATACTGGATTGTTTTCTTTTGCTAGATGATAACACCAAGTTTCCACAAAATAGAATGAAGAGCTGGGATTTCAAACCTCATCTGTCTCTTTTTATTCTTATGCGATGAAGCATTTCTATATAGGGCTTCCCCCTACTCCCATCTATACTACGATTTAGTAATGGCAAATTCAAATTTTATAGCCAATGACAAATCCTGACCATTTATCCCGCTGCCTCCATGATCACTAACATCCTCATCAGATGACCAACTGTAGCATTATGAGTAAAATCTCAAAAAGATAAAGTAACCTTCTTAGTCCTGCTAATTGAGATGGAGCAGAGACTTCTAATCACCTCAGAAAATACCACATGGTTCAAATCACTGATCACAAGTACAGATACTAGCTACATGATGCCTGCAGCCCCAACATAAACAATCATTTGAGGGAAGTGATTTTTAAGTTGTCAATATTTAATGGTATCTACGAAAAGAGTGACCTCCTTGAGCCGGGTCTCTGAGTGCTGTGCTCAGTTATCTGCACCGCTGCCACTGTGCTGTAATTTTTAGCTGATTACACATTAGTTCATTTAGCTTTGTTTCCTCTTCCCTACTGTGCCACACTATTAAACGAAAGAGAGGGGCCTGGCATCCCTCTGTGCGCAGAGCTGGGATTGTCACAGTGTAATAAGGATACATCCAGTCAAACAGCATGGTGTAGCTGGTCTTTGTGTTCAGTGCAAAGGCAATCCCTCGAAGATCTCTCGCCAGCCCGATCAACATACGCTGTCAGTGGGAAAGAGACACAGTAATTGATTTTCACGTTAGCGCAGAGCAGATGGAGTAATAATCAGGCAATAATGACCACATATCTGATTCTGATTCATTAGCTAAAATGTCTCGCTCAGATCTCTTTCCATAGAAAACCATAGCCGCTTTAATAAACAGACCATCAATCTGCTGACCAATTCCACATTGCTTCTTATAACCTGAGCTAAGTTGTAATTCCAGGAGCACAGAAACATTGAGACTCAATATACTTTTTATCTGAACACTGCCAAATTTGAAAAAAAAATCAGGATTCATAATTTCACAAGAGGTATATAGTGTAGACATTATTTAATAGCAAATTTCAACCAACCAACTGGCTTGACTAAAATCAACCTCACTATTCAATTCAGTCTGCCCTAGCACTGGCATATAAAGTTCCCCAAAGAAAAGTTGCAATAACTCAGGACAAGCTCAAACTGGCCGGGTGACCTATAGCATCATGATACACCCAGAAAGGCAGCCATATTGTTCAAGTTAGCAAATGACATAAGGAAAAAAGTTCTGAATTTAATGTCACAAGACTCTGAAATTGAACTCTAGTTTTGTTTAACTCTGAAAGGCAAGGCAATTCATGAGTTTTAGTTTCTTCATCTATCAAGGGAGCTAATTATAATTACGGCCATTCAACAGACCTGTTGTGAGAAATACATTTGTGTGCAAAAATGCCTAGCAATTGCCTGAAAAACAGAAAGTGTGGTTCACAAATGGTTTCAAAAGGGACGGAGGAAGCCAAACCAAACCTCCTTGATATAAATAAAAAAGATCTGACTCATACTCTGGACTCTTAATTAAGCTGTCCTTAAGATGATGATTGAGAAAAGAAAACCCGTGAACAGATGCTAGAATGTCAGAACAAAGAGCACAAATAAACATAATTGCCCAACAAGGAGGTGTGATAGTTGAGATACACAACTGTGACTTCTGAATATACTGCTTCAGTAGAAATGCTAAGGCAGAAAACGGTCTCGGGATCTTTACAGACTGACCTTGGTAATGAGTGGAAAGCTGTCTAGTAGGCAATCAGTTTTGACTGTCTTCATTACAGAGGGCATTTCAGTGAACCAAACCACAGCAAGCAGTCGGACATCCTGCTCCTCCTTCCTAACAGGAGACTCAATGTACCTGGATGTTGTCCAGGGGATTGCTCGATTTCTATTTCTAACCGTTTATAGGATGATGGGAACCCGAAGTGCTGCATATGAACACTCCTAATTTCAATCTTTGCTGTTCAGAATGACTCATTTAGCTTTTCCCCATAACATGACCAGCTCTTGCGTTTCTATAATTGTCAGGCCTCTTCACGATTATCTCATGTTACTATTATTTTTTAAAAACTGCTTACTATTCAGTTTTTTCTCTCACCAAATAGACCTGGTCTTTCTCAGCTTTCTTCCTTCCTTGCAGCCTCCAGAACAGAATCCATCATCTCTGGCGCCCCTCTGAGCGCCCTCACGCCGGCTGCCATCTATGCTAGCCTACAGACTCTACTTGGCTTTCCAATCTATTACAGCAGTTTTGAAAATTCCTATTTTTATTATGTACACTTATACAGACTACTCGTCAGGTAATTTCAAGCTTCCATATACACATAAGATATCCATTATTCAATTCTAAATTAGTGAACAAGAACCACGAATTTTACTTTATGCCTTGTACAAAGAAAGGGCTTTTTTATAAAATGTCATTATACAAAAGATTATTTTTATTTGGTCAGAATTTTTCTTCTTTGAAGGTGCCAAGTTGATACAAAGGTTCTAGTTAAGCGAATTTATGGTCTTTTTTAATACAGTAAAATGTGGCCATAAAATTATACTAATGTTTCCCTTCTTTGAAAATGTTACTTTAGAGCAGAGGCAGCATTTAACAAATTAAGCATAAGTTTTAGATAGAACTACAGTGTAGTGTTAATGTAAGAAACAGATTCATTATATTAATAAAAAAGTAGCAGTCCTCTCAAGGCAGCATAGAATCTACACAGATAAATAAACAAGGCTACAGGAGAATTTTCTCAGTACTCAGCTCGGGAACAAGACAGACAGCCTTAAGCAGGAGCTCACACTAGCTAGCAAATAACCCAGAATCTTCGGGAAGCGAAAAATCTAAAAGGTGATGAGTTCCAATAATTTTCTTGAGGTACATTTGAGGAGTGGTTAGGTCTAGTGATCTGATCCTATGGACTCCTTTTTGGAGAGTCCAAGAAGAAACTGCTGAGAGCTTTCAGTCCGCGGCATGGTAAACTGTTGTCTGTGTGCCAAGTGTGAGACGGATGGGCTGGGAAACAGCTGAAACGCAGCTCCTTCCACCCTGACCCCCAAACAGGGTTTCTAATGGGAAGTCTGACAGACCCTTTACTGTAGTGGCACTACTGGGGCAGCTATAATATTATCCTCATAATTCTACTATATAATAACAACAAAGAAAAAGAAGGTGAAGGGTCATTGTGCTTTGTCTTTAGAATTAAGATGGCTGTCTTCATCCTTACAGCATACTCTTAATTCTGGAGACACATCTTAATAACCTCTAAATAGTTCCAACAAAAGAGCCGTGTCAGAGGAATGAGCAGGCCCCAAGGTGTTTCAACTGGAGTGTTTTCATCTGCCTTTATTGCTCTATCCCTCTCCAGAATTAAGGCAATAACCTGTGATAAATTATTCAGGAACTGCTACAGGGATCAAAGCAAAATCATTCTGTTAAAGTGCTGTTTGCAACATTTGGCACTTAGTGCGAAAACTTTTAATGTGCGCATGCTGAAAATCAAGGATTTTAAATAATTTAACATCGGGGAGTTTTTACGAAGGGACTAAAGATAGCAGGTTCCTATTTAACTGCTCCTCTTCCTCTGAGAAGTTTTCATTCATTTTTCTTAACACCCGTGACGTCATGGCTGAATGGAGAAATATGCATGGACCACGGTAACGGCACACTATATCTTACTATGGATAAAATGACGGGGGATGGGAGGCAAGAAACGTTTTGAAATAATACTCCAGTATTACGATTTCTGTTTGTTTGTTTCTTTCCCTTTGACTTTGGAAAGAAAAAAAAAACCCAAACAAAAATTCTCAAAACAAAAATTCAACATTCGCTTCAATTTTACTAGGACTAAGTAAAGAAAACAAAGTTATAAATAAGGGCTTTTCAGCATTTCTTTTCCTCACAGTATTTCAGTTTGGCAACACAGGTCCTAATATCTGCATTGAAGAATATCTATACACGGGGATTTAGACGATCCTGGTAAGGGTTGCAAATTAAATGAATCTGGCAGTCCTGCAGCATTTTCATAAAGATATTTTAACAGCATCACCTCCTGTGGTTTGGAATACTAAATACTTTATTGGAGAACAAAACAGAACTGTTTTCATCTCTAGTACTTGTAAAATGAAGTACCTGAAAGCACCTTTGCATGTATTATTTATTCACCATGATAGAAAAAATAGCCTTAACCTAATAAATTACATTTAAGAGCATTTAGTACAAAAGTTTTGTTTATGATAAAGCAACAGATTTCGCTCCTTATTGGTAGCTTTAAGCACCAAGTTCTCTTCATACAAATTAGACAGATGGTGCTTACAGTAGAATTTACTAAAGGTCTGTCACAACAAATGCAGCCAAGCTGCATATTTAATCACTGCAGAATCTTGTCTACCTGCAGCTGCCAACTGCTAATCCAATTTCCCTGATAAATGTGGCAAGAGACACGATCAGCAATAAAGAGCATCTAACTCCATTTTCCTGCAGGGCGTCTTTTGATGAACATTTAGGACGGAAGCACGGAGTGCACTGTGTGGCCTTGGTTCGTGGCAGCTGCATGCATTCTGAGGCACAGTTCTCAGGTTACTCACTTAATTCTGCCACTATCATTACGTTGCTATTGATCTCAGTAGCTGTTGCCTACACAGCATTACTCTAGATGAAGCTGAATCAGGCAGTTATCATGCATCAAACTTGCTCAAAAGCCTGGAGATTTCCCCTTAATTACTTGTGATTTTATTTGCAAATACCGTTAAAGTGTAATCAAGCAGTCACTTTCCAGGGTCGTTAAGAACTTGCTAGTTTAGGGATATATCACTGGAACTCCATTAAAAATGACTCTAGGAAGATGGTTTCTATCAAACTAGATGGAATTACATCCAAACAGGCTTAGAATATAATGAAATCTTCAAATGAGACAAATAAAATTTTTATAAAGATGGCAGTTTTTAACCTCACCAAATCTTTTTGATAAGGGGCAGCAAGGGCTACTTAAAAGCTGCAAATATTCTGTTGGTCAGAAACATTTGGACAACATCTAAAAAATATAGTTAGTTTGGCTAGGAACGGACAAAGAATTCAGGAAGACCATATAAACAAAGAAAAATTAAGATCTTATTAACTTTTTAAAATTTCATGACTATGTTATCCTGATAAACATCTAGTTCAAGAACTCCATTTTAACGTAAAAGGTATAGCATTTAGGTAATCTTTGTTTCACAGAAGAATTATATAAATATCAGTAAAGGCCATCTCTTTTCTAATTGGTTTCATGGTATTTGTGTGTGTGTGTGTGTATGTATATGAGAGAAAGAATAAGCGTGGGAGGAGGGAAAGGAGCAAGAGAAGAGAAGCCATGAAATGATGGTTAATATTTCAACCTATTTCAAACAACAATAATATGTGACTAGGGCATCACCAACAAGGGTCCTACTTCTCTGGACTGCATTTATTATTTTTAAAAATAATAATCAGTGCCAATCTATTTAATATAGCTCTGATACAGCATAATTTTGGGAGACACTATTTCTGTTTGGCAAAGCGCCTGCTTCCCATCCCCCCACGTTAAAATATGGGGCTGTTTTGTCACAAACAGCTTGCTACACTTAAGGATTTTACTAATAAAACATAATGTTGTCTTAGATATTATGACTGTTGCCACAGCTGAACTGACTTGTCAAATCAATCCTAATATGGCTCCCACAGGCACATAAAGCCTTATTTAGCTATCAGTTATCCTAATCACTTTGTTCAGTTTAAGAATGCAACACTTCAAGGCCGGCTCCTATTTATACACATATGCCTAGCCATTTAATAAAGTGCTGATTTATATAAATTCTTGTTTAAAAAATCTTCAGAGATGTAGGGTTTTAGCATGTGTGCATGTCTCTATCTGGATATGTGGAACACACAGAGCAGGGTGGATGGGAGGCAGCAATGTTTAAAGTGGCTTGCCCCCGAGAACTGTGCTATCACAGTGAGCATCACTGAGACAAATCTGCACCATCCTACCATGAACGGACTGTCTTAAGCCACTGCTGACCTCATATATCATTTGCATCTGGAACTAGAAAAGTGCTTACTTTATTAACGTTTATCTCACAAGCGTATTACTTAGAGATGTGGGCCTGAGACACACATATACACAAACAGACAGATATGTTGCTAGCTACCTTCTCTGCTGGGGTAAGGCACTGAGGAAGAATGCTTGTATTTCTTCATGGGAGGAAACAGACTCACCTTCACTTCTTCTTGTTTAAAGCTGTTGTTAAATATTTGCAAAACTGTTTCAAAGGAGACCGTGAGAGGCAGCATAAAATTCTCAAATTCATCCTCATCTTCACCTATAGAACAAAAGGGTCACTATGGTTTAAAATGTATGCTAATGTGCATTAGCTTCAATACTGAGTATTTCATTCAGGTTTGGAAATGCCCTGTGAAGAGGTCAGCCTGCATTCCCACCCATGCCACAATTGGCGCTTTGGTTCACTGAATTGAATATTTTGTTTTTTCTCTGTCCTTTATATCAAATGTAACAGCAACAATACTCTGGCTCTAACTGACTGATGCCTTAGGCATGTCCACCCATCTTTACACTTCGAAGCCCCCGAGTTTCCCTACTTTCAAGGCTTTAAAGATAACAGTCTCCCCCTTTCCCTTTTTCTCTCTTTTGGTGCCAAGGCCCAAAGGGCTGACAGACTCAAGTGCTCAGATAGTTCTAAGTTATTATTCTTTTTTATTTACATTCTTTAAAAACGTAACTTCCAGGGGCTGGAGAGATAACTAGCTCAGTATTTAAGTGCACCTGCTGCTCTTACAGAGGCTCTGAGTTCTGCTCCCAACACTGACATCAGACAACTAACAACTGCCTGGAACTCTAGCTCCAACACCCTCAAATACACACACACACACACACACACACACACACACACACACAAATACAAATCTTTAAAGATTAACTTATCAATAAATGACAAAAGGATGGGGCCCCTCATGCTTTACTTAGATTCAACTGTTCTCTATGATCCTGTTCATTACAAACAAGAATAAAATGAGGTATTTCCCATAAATTTCTTATAGAAAGGTAGACTATATTTTCCTTAAGAATTCTGTCAAAACAGAATCTTCACACACTAAAAATCTGTATACTATTCTTTTCGAAATTGGTTTCTCTGAAATGAGATTGGCCTCTCATTCATCCTATGCCACAGGAAACCATTTGCTCACGAGCCAACAGAAAAAGCTTAGATGTTTTGCTGAAGGTGCCACTTAGAAGAGCGCTATATGGTTCAGATCTTCTGATTTCTGTGCTAATGGTGGTTTTAAAATACAGCATCTGGTAGGAAATGATCTCAGAGAAGAGACCAGTGGTCCTTAATGGTTGGTTCTTGCTCTAGAAGCAGGAGCTAAAGCTGGGGCTTATAAGATGCTAACTTCCAGGCTCCACTTCAGACCCACTCTACTGTGTCATAATTGCTGGGCCAGAGAACAGCAACTGTTGTAGCAGCTTTCCATATGACTCAGATGCCTGTCAACTCTAGAGAAACGGATGTATTCATCCTGGTACAGATGATGAAGTCCACGCCCCCTCCCCCAACACATAGGTGATCAATGATGGGTCTTTTGACTCTTCTTCCATGGCAGCTGATCTGGTTGACCCTGATCAATTTTTTTTTTATGATTCCTGATTCCTTCTCCCCTTAAGACTTATATAATTTCTCATTAGAGTCCAACAGAATAGAGAACATAAAAAGATGACAAAAGTTAAAGAATCTTTCCTGGTGTTCTAATCATGGGTCAAGATCTTGGGTAAATAATAAGGCAGACCAATTGATAATCTCTGCTGTCATGTGGCTTTGTGATCATATCATTCTTCATTCATATCCAATACCGTTTGTCACAGAAGTTATTTTCAAGGCTTGCATTCAAAGATGCCATCTAAAGATGGCCACACCCTTCCTAAGCCTTATACAAGCGCTCTATCTCCTTCCTATTTCTGTTTCATGTCCCCCTGATTTTTAAGCAGACATTTAATAATACCATCAATACTGTAGGCACGTACATGATATGACCGTTGTTTGGTCAAGGCTCCTTGTACTGAAGGAGAGAAACTGATAATGTGCATATTAACTACTAACCTACACTGGCTACTTATCTCGGCCCCAGCTTTGGCCTGCTGCTACGGTGTGGGTGCCAGTCGATGAGGCAGTGCTCTGCAGTACACAGGTTCAGGAATCTGACCTTGGCCACAGATTATTTAGCCTTGGGTATCTTACTAACCACTGAATCTCAGCTTCCTCATCTACAAAATAAGGATGAAACTATCTTTAAGGTTTCTGTAGTGAATTAAATGTAGTGAAATTTACTTGTATTTTAATAAATAAAGCTTGTTTGCTAATCAGAGAGAAAAACAGCCACACTGGTCAGTCTAACAGACCAGGCAGTGGGTACATATCTTTAGACCCAGTAGTCACACTGGTTTGCCACAGAAGTCAGGTGGTAATGGTGCATGCCTTTAATCCTAGCACTAGAGAGGAATATAAGCCAGGAACTAGTTCTCTTTTCAGTCAGGGTTTCTTATAGGTAAGAGCTCTCTAGTGGCTTGGCTACTTTGCTTTTCTGATCTTTAGGTTGAACCCTAATAGCTGTCTCTAGGTTTTTATTATTCATTTGTGTTACAATTAAATGCTAAAATACATGAAAAACAGATGTTTCATATACACCGATGGCATATATGCTCTGGTATTACAGTGTTAGCTCTGGAAACAGTGCCTTCTGTTACTAGGGAAATACTGTATTTGAATGGAAAACATTTGTTTCAGCAAATTTCCAAAGTTCTGGGTCAGGTCAGATTAAAGGTCCAGGTCTGTAAGATTAGCACTTGGAAGAAGGGGCGTGGGATCAGGATTTCAATGCTAGGCCCAGCCACTTGAAAACCTGCTATACTAAAGTTTTTTTTTTCTTTTTCTTTAAAAAAAAAAACAAAAAAAATTTTTGATATTAAAAGAAAAAAAAGGCCTGGGCAGGTAGCTCAGTGGTAGAGTAGCAACATTGCCCANGTCCAGAAAGGAATCTCTATCCCTTACCTTCTGTGAGCTCAGGAGGTTTCTCTTGAAGTATTCTGTCTCCTTAACTAAAGTTTTTTTTTTCTTTTTCTTTAAAAAAAAAACAAAAAAAAAATTTTTGATATTAAAAGAAAAAAAAGGCCTGGGCAGGTAGCTCAGTGGTAGAGTAGCAACATTGCCCAGGCTGTATCAAAGACAGGGGCTCAAACACTACCACCATAAAATAAACACAAAAAAGACTCTAGGAAAAAACAAAACCCCAATCTAGCAAATAGTAGAAGTGAACATTATCAGATCTAGGTACATACTATACATGTACATTGAATTTAAAAACAATTTTCCCCTATGATAAAGTGTTTTCTAAAAGTGATTATTAATAAAAAGCGATAATTATCCTTGCAGGCAGAAGGGGACTGGCTTTCCAGTCTTGAGTGGATGCTCCGAAACTAAGCTTCAGTCCTGGCTCTGCCACTGTTAGCTGTCTGGCATCTAAGCCTTAGTGTCCTCATTTGTAATTAAGAGACACAATATTTACTTCATAAAGTTAGCTGTGAGGATTAAATGACGAAGCATCTGTACCTCCCCTTGCTGGCACTTCATAAATGACATCTATTAGCATTTTTTTGTCTTGAGTCAACATGGACGTAGAGAGGTGATTATGATAATTAAATAAAAGTGCGACCACACGACTGCCTTCCCAATAAATCCCTTCCTCTGGGAATGAAGCCTCTGCAACAAAGCTTAGACTTTTCCAACGCAAAGGGATGTTTATTCACAACAAACATAAATTCAGAGCTTCTGCATTCCAACTTTATATTCTGAGCTACAGATAAAACAGTCTTCCAGATTTCATCTACTTCACGAATCACAATTCTTGAGGCCCACTCAATAGGCAGGAAACCACTCCTTGTCTTAGAAATCTGAGGTCACAGATCTTAGAAGAGAACCTGCTATTCTACTGCGCCAGACCAGCAAAATCCCTATTTGCATTTCAAAGCTTACCCTTGTACTCACAGATGAGTGTAGCTTTCTCTGTTCAAACAAGCTCCTCTTTACAGTAAATGGAGACCATTACAGAAAATCACAACTGAGCATAATGCAGAGATAACAGAGCTTGGGGGCTCGGCTAAATAGCTATAACAACTCCTGAACCGAAGACTCAGGAAACATGGAGGAAGAAGGGGCATAGAGATGTAGGAGCCAGAGGACCAGGGAGACTGAATCTCAGAAATAACAGGGAAGGTACACTCATGACACATCAATCATATGGCTGCCGAAATAAGACCTGAGTAATGACAGTATTAATAGACATGATAATGGGGAAGGGCTCAATTTGACTAGGTCCCGTCCCTAGACAAAAAACCGTAGGCAACTAATAACTGCTGAGACAGGGAGAATTAGCTTCTATAGGGAAGGGACCCTTCAGTGGTCAGCCCTAAGAACATTCACTCATATCCATATATGCCATGCTAAATGGGCTCAGCAGGTTCTTTGTGTATAGATTTATGTGTCTAACAATAACAGTCAAAGAAAAACAGGCCATCAGTTTGAGAGGGAGTGGGAAGTGATACAGGAGAGTTTGAGAGAGGAGACATGAAAGGGTCTGTAAAGAAAGGAAAATTGGAAGGGATACAGTTATATTTTAATTAAATTTTAATGCAAATTTTAAAAAACAAAGATTTCAGTTGAGTGACAGTGGCCGACTGCCTTTAATCCAAGCACTTGGGAGGCAGAAGCAGGTGAATCTGAGTTTGATGGCAACCTGATCTACAGAGAGAATTCCAGGACAGCCAGGGCTACACACAGAAACCCTGTCTTCACAAACAACAAACAATACCCCATAGATTTCATAATGTAAAAAACAAACAAAAAATACAGTTGGAATGTGAGCAGCAGTGCGACTCTCCATAACATCTTCACACTTTCTGCCCACTGTGTCTCAAGTGACCGACTCCCTCCACTGTCATCCTGCAGCTGCTTTCCTGTTCTTACTGGAGTTACTGTGACTGGCTGGGACCTTTTATACACGTTATCATTTGTCTCCTTTATGAGAACAGAACCTTTCTGGGGAGGAACGTGATCTGCTTTGCTGACAGCTGTCTCTCCAGTATTTAGAATAGTGTCTGGATGAAGTCAGTCCTGAGTTTATTCAAAGAACATGCTCATGGCTCTTACTATATTCAACAAACTGTTGGAACTCAAAATCCCATGAAATCATACAATCTCAGTTTTTACATGGGAACAGAGATGCCCAAAAGAATTATGTAGCTTGCCAAATA